CAGGCATGTCATTATGTAGAAAAGAGGTAACAAGAGTCATGAAACAGAAAATTTAATTGAATACAAGTACTGAAGTTCAAAGCAATTGCTTAACATGGAAATTTTGTTTTTAGATGGGCTACTTAACTTACAGGGGAACTGTCTGCAACTTTGAAATATGACAACATTGAAATATGCCATCTAGGAAATTTGTAATCATTGAAATATGCCCTCTAGGAAATTTGTAATCATTGAAATACGCCATCTAGGAAATTTGTAAACATTGAAATATGCCATCTTGGAAATATGACAACATTGAAATATGCCATCTAGGAAATTTGTAATCAATGAAATATGCCATCTAGGAAATTTGGTAAACATTGAAATATGCCATCTAGGAAATTTGTAAACATTAAAATATGCTATCTTGGAAATTTGTAATCATTGAAATATGCCATCTTGGAAATTTGAAATCATTGAAATATGCCATCTTGGAAATATGAGAACATTGAAATATGCCATCTAGGAAATTTGCAAACATTAAAATATGCCATCTTGGAAATTTGTAATCATTGAAATATGCCATCTAGGAAATTTGTAATCATTGAAATATGCCATCTAGGAAATTTGTAATCATTGAAATACGCCATCTAGGAAATATGTAAAAATTGAAATATGCCATCTTGGAAATATGACAACATTGAAATATACCATCTGGGAAATTTGTAAACATTGAAATATGCCATCTTGGAAATTTGTAATCATTGAAATATGCCATCTTGAAAATTAGTAATCATTGCAATATGCCATCTTGGAAATTTGTAAACATTGAAATATGCCATCTAGGGAATTTGTAATCATTGAAATATGCCATCTAGGAAATTTGTAAACATTGAAATATGCCATCTTGGAAATTTGTAAACATTAAAATATGCCATCTAGGGAATTTGTAATCATTGAAATATGCCATCTAGGAAATTTGTAAACATTGAAATATGCCATCTTGGAAATTTGTAATCATTGAAATATGCCATCTTGGAAACTTGTAATCATTGAAATATGCCATCTTGGAAATTTGTAAACATTAAAATATGCCATCTAGGGAATTTGTAATCATTGAAATATGCCATCTAGGAAATTTGTAAACATTGAAATATGCCATCTTGGAAATTTGTAATCATTGAAATATGTTAACTGGAAGTA